CCCCCCCCCCCCCCCCCCCCCCCCCCGCTTCCCCGGCTCCTCGATGCAAAAATACAAAGTCGGAGACCCCGCAGACGTGCTGCCCATCAGCGTCCGCTTCTCCATCTCCATGCTGCCGTCCGAGCCCATGCAGCCGCGCTGGGGGGACGAGCGCGTGGGGTACTTCAACACGGTGTTCAGCGATCTCGGTGACCACCGTGCAACACGGGAGGGCCGGAATACCGACCTCATCGACACTGAGGTGAGGCATAGCCGGCGGGAGCGTCGCGGGTTTGCTATTGGGGGGGGGGAGAGGAGGGGGGGGTAAGATTTGTCCGGGCGTGTGCTTGGCATAGACTGCCAGTCGTCCTAGTGTGGGTTTCTGTGAGTTGAGTAATTTGTTTTTTGGCCGAAGGGAAGGGCTGCACGTCGACACACAACACTTCAGTTTCATCGTACCTTCGTCTACATACCGGGCTAATGGCGTTTTCCCGTCCTTGCCCCCCCACCAGCCCGTATTCCCTGCGACAAACACCCCACAATAGACAAGGGGGGTGATGGTCCCCCTCATGATCTCTTGTCGCCGCCAAGAAACTCTAGCAGCGGTAAACACATCTCGAGGATAGAAAGGGGGACGGTACACAGAGCGCGTCAACCCTAACTCTCTCAACCACCCTAGCTGTCTTCGACATCAACCGCACGCCGTCTATGATAGCTGTCTTTGACACCAGTCCTACGCCGTCCGCGCGCGCCCCACTAAACGACGACCGTAAACATCGTCACAGGTCATCCTCATCAACAAGCGGCGCATGACCCCTCCCACCGCCGCCGCCGCCGCCGCCGCCGCCGCCGCCGCCGCCAGCGGCGGCGACGGAGACTCTCCCGCCGACGAGGCGGCGGCGGCCACCCCTGAACCTGCCGCCGAGAGCGGCGAGCCCCTGACGTACTACGTGGACCCTTCCGTCCCCCCGGAGTGGCGCGAGTACATGCGGGCTGGGGTGGAGGCGTGGAGGCCGGCGTTTGAGGCCGCCGGGCTCGGAGGGGAGGCCATCCGCGCGGTCCTGCCTGGCGACGAGGCGTGGCCGTCGGACTACGACCCGGGAGATATCAGGTGCAGATGTGAAGCGGGGCGAGGCAGGGGCATGGTGGTGGTGATATGGGGTGGGCGGGAGGGCGGTTGTCGAGGTTTGGCATTTGCCGCGGGGGTGCGGTGGATTCTGCGGCTTGTGGAGATGGTATGCTGTTCGTGGAATCACGCGCGTGCGGGACACCCGGTTTGCGCCGATTGTCCACGGTACAACTTGTGTCGTGCGCAAGCGCCACCGGGGCTTTTGCTTGTGTGCGACACCGTGGAGACAACCTAACCCTACGTCTGTCTGACCCCGAGCCTCGCCAACCTCTTTATCACCATCCTTTGTTCGGTCTCCTGTGTTACCCCTCAGCCCTAGGTACTGTATCCCTCACGGGTGTTGCTTGTCTTTCCTTGAACAAGACCGGTAAAGGACCCTTTGCCGGCTTGAGTCCGTCTTCTAGGCTCTCGTCGGCTCTCCATCGTCGCAAACCCCAACCGTTGTCCTTCCATCTCTCCACAAGACCCCATCTTCACCGTGACTCGGAAAGATCAACTGCCATAGACACGGAATCTCCACTACTAACCGTCGCCAACTCCAGCCGTTACAGTTTCATATTTCCGTTTAGCCCCCAACCAGACGAACCAGACGGTGAAATCGGAAGGTTTAGTCCCATCACCGTGGACGTCGACTCTGCACCCTCCCCAACTTCCAACTATCTTTCCACGAAACCCCTACCCCGGACCCTCGCTCGCTCGGAAGGTTCAACTCCATCACGTGGGCAGTCGATGTGGACGAGGTGTTCGCACTGGGTCCTGCCACGATCGATCCCCGTACGGGGGAGATCCTCCACAGCGGCATCGTCTTCACCAACGGCTGGATCAAGTCCTGGTCGGCGTCCTTCGAGATCTACGGAGATTCGCCGGACGACGAGCCCTCCGCAAGGTATTGGTTTATTCGGGTGATTGGCTCTTCGATTTCGGTGAAGTAGTTGGTGGTGGTAGGAAATCCGGTTGCTTGGCTCTCGGATATCGGTGGTGCCGTGTAGTAGAAGTTACCGTTGGTGGTGTCACCGATGTTGGTAAGTTGAGGAGATGGTGGCACACGACACGAAACACGAATACTGCTGCTGGTGTTGTCTCGTACGATTATTCCGTATTTTTGTCAGGGCTTCACTTCGGGGCAATGAATCCACGTAAAGGATTTAGTATGGAGGTAAACGTCACGCGGAGTTGAGTGTCTTTGTTGTAGTTTTATTGTCGGTGCCGTGTAGGTATCGTGGTTACATGCCCACGGTAACAGTTCCGCGGTACGGATTTCCAAGTAAGTGAGCCCTGGTTCTTGTCAGTGCCGTTGTTGCCACGGCTATCCGGCGTTTGTGGCCTCAGAAAGCACAGCCCTCAAAACCCTCCGCCCTACTTGCTCCGCCTTTGCATCCGCTGCACGCGGGCCAGGCAGCACATGCGACGTGAGACGCTCATACCCCCCCCCGGCCTTGCCCTCCGCTCTTCGAAACGAAACCACCTAGGCACAGATCTCTGTTGAATCGACCGCCGGATTCGCACGCCCACTCGCACTCCCACGGGCACGCCCACCACGGGCATCATTCGCACCACTCCCACCCTCATCATCATGCCGAAGGCGGCGGCGGAGGCGACAACGAGAGGGGGGAGGGGGGGGTGCTGGAGAAGCTCTTGCCGTCTTTGGGCGGGGGCGGGCGACGGCACGGCGGGAGCGGGAGCCTGCGGTACCACGGACGCGGGGAATGCCAAGAGGCGCGTGTTACTGTGGTACTGCTGTAGATCTGGTGTCGTGGTCATGTTGTTGCTGTCGGTTTTGCCGGTGGAGGTGGGTGTTCTTTGTTGTGGTCGGCGTTTGGTGCCCTCTCGATGTTCGTAGCGTCGTCAGCGTTGTTGGCCTAGCTGCTATCTTTTTTCGTTTACGCTCCGGGTCTGCTTCTCGCAACACGCCCACGCTTTCACGCTTGCCGTCGTCGTTATCTCCTGAACGACAATAGTTTTTGGCCCCCTTTATTTTTTTTCGCGGACTTTTTTATTTTTTATTTTTTGTGGCACGTTTTGGTGGGCACCTTCTTTTTTTTTTTCCTACCTGACAAGCGCGTGCGTTCGAAACACGCTCTACATCTTCGTCCCGCTGGCCACCAGCAACCACGACCCTGACACTTTCTTTTTCCCCCTCCTCTCCCTCAAGGCTCGCATGAACGACCTATCGATGTCGTTGCTCCCCCTGGTCCGAGGGAGAGGGAGAGGGAGAGGGAGACAACGGTCCGATGGCGGCGGCGGCGGCGGCGCGGGCGGCTCGTCTCGCCGCCTCGAGGGAGGGGAAGGGGAAGGGGAAGGGGAGGGGGAGAGCGGCGGCAGGGGGGCCGCCCCGGGCCTCGCGACGGACGAGATTCTCGGTGCCGGTCTGATGGACGTTGTGATGCACGAGGTTGGTGTTTGTGGAGGAAGGAGGGGGGTGGGGGGGTAAGTACTCATGTAAACGCATGACGTAGCCGTCAGGCCGTTGGCCTTACGGTCGGGGCGGAGCGATGTTTCGCCGGCCCAGGCAATTTTTCACAAGGATGAACCAGAGCCTGGTCATCATCCTTTGGGGATTGGTGATGGAGATGTCTAGTTTAAGGTTGTGGAATCGATTTTTTTTTTTGTACGTGTTCGGGGTGAATGAAGGGGTGATGTGCAGTGTGCACGTGCTACTACGATAGTGTAGTGCCTCTCTCTGAAGGCCGGTTTTGTTTGGCATACACGTGGGTGGGATAGGCTTCGTCGAGCTGCCTGGACGTGGGAACGGGTGGACGTGCTGGGATAGGCATCGCAAGGTCGCGGTGATTCGGAAGGTCGACCGCCCCACCACGAATAGCAACAGTAGCAACAGCAGTCGCAGGAACAACCTCTGATTGATCTTGGGAGATGTAGTCATGCACATGCGATACAGGACAACGAAAGTGTTGCACCCCTTTTGATCAATTTCCTCTCTCTCTTGCCCTTCCCCCCCCCCCCCCCCCCC